AGAGAGAGAGAGAGAGAGAGAGAGAGAGAGAGAGAGAGAGAGAGAGAGAGAGAGAGAGGCGTGGAACAAGGGGAGGAAAACTGACCTTAGCCAGCGTACTCCGCGGACGTCCAAGGCCGCGGCGGGTCGCAGTGGCTGAAGAATGCACTACACGGTGGATTGCAGCAGCGGACACAACATGGTGTGCAGCCTTTTTTTTTTGCGCGGGGACTTCGAAAAGTATGGGGTTGGATTTCAAATTGTTACCGCCTCCCCCCTGGAGGACATCTCAGGAAGATGCATCCCCCACAGAAGGGCAAATCGGACAGGCAGCAGGGGAAATAGGACCGCCGGTCCGGTAGGGGCATTCCAAAAAGTTAAACCCCTCACTGACAGGGGCCTGTTCCAAAGTTCAGAGGCCCAGGGGCAAATCAGGGTAAGTCGGCCGTCGGAGGGGCAAATCGCAAATTAATGCAAACTTCAGGGGCATTTCGAAAATTTTCCCCAAAAAATATAGATATGAAGGTGTAAGATTGAGTTAATAAATTTCATTTTCTATTGCTTGATGATAAAAAAAAGGAGAGCCTCAACGGTGTCCACGTACCTCTGAAGAAATCTGCATGGCAGCGGGATCACTTTCTTCCAGAGTCGCTCCAACACCTGATACTTCTGACAGGTTTCGGAGAGGTTTCAGAGAAGAGTTCAGAGAAGTTTCAAAGAGGTTTTTCAGAGAGGTTTCATTCAGAGAGGTTCCTGGGTGTCCACATTTCTCTGCAGACATGCGCAGCGCAGCAGGGGATCACTTTCTTCCAGGGTCGTTCCTCAGCACGGTGGTAAGTTTATACCTAATGCTTCTGTATCATACTTGCAAGCGGGCGCCGTCCGGGCGGTTCCGCATGTGCGGCAGACCGCTGGACCAGACCCGCGCGGTGCACGAATGTGCGCCCGACGACCAGTTACGCCCCACTCGAAAAAAAAAATAAAAAAATGGCCCTGTCCGGTCCGGTCCGAGTCCGTCTGGTCCTGGGGGAGGGTGCCGCACGCAGCAAAGCGGACCGGACCGGACGCTCGTCTGATCTGTCTGCTTGCAACTTGCAAATATGTTCTGTATGGTAGGGTACCTAGTCAGGAACTTGCACACTGACTTGGTGGCTATATGCACGGCTATGTCCTGTAGGAGGAGGGTCTCGTAGGATGCCCTGGGGGGAGGGAGTGTGTGTTTACTGCGACTGTGCATGGGTGGCATGGATATGACGACCGGTATGGTTCCGCTTCCGGAGACTGGGTTGCGGTTGCAGTGGTTAAGGCGCCTGCCTGGCTGTTTAGTTGGAGATCGCCGGTTCGTTTGCTCGGCAGTGTCGTTCTAAGTTCTAACCGCGTGGTAATATACAGATCATTCTAGTTGGCTGTGTGGAGAGCTGTTTGAAAGCATGGCACAAGCCGCTGCATGGGCTCTTTGCTCTTATGGGGAGGGCCCTGGTAGTTTGTTACATCTTCGACTCACACGGGTCCTACCGGACCCGACTTAGGGCCGGAGGGACACACCAGGGCCTAAAGGCCCGACCTTTGGGGTTACAGGCCCTAAAGGCCTGATTTTGGACTATCACCCATTGGGTAGGCCCAAACGACACTTCGTTTGGGCCTGGAGGCGCTCTTGAAGCTGCCGCCCGCCGATTGAGGCTGAAC